TGCAGTCACCAATATCAGCTGTGCTAGCCAAAGAAGATGGCTGTCATTACACAAACCATCTACAGGACATCAGGCACCTATATAACACCCATTTCAAAATGTAAAATATTGTCCTAAATGTACTCACAGCCACGTTATGAATCACTACATATAGGTTATACTTTATAGTTTCACCACTGTTATTCAGTGTATCATTATAATGTATAATTATGTAGCCATATGTCAATTCTAGCCTATGGCAGCCATCCCAGGTCTTTCTAGATATAAAATACTCAGAAGTGGTTTACCAGTTCTGCCTTTTGGTTGCTCTCTGTGACCATGCAAGTTGCCCAATGCTGCAGAGGTGGAAAGCGATATAACCCCATCAGTCCTATATGCTCAGCTGGCCCATCTTCCTAAGAGGTACAATGTGGATTCAAGCTCCCCAGCCCCTGACTTCACAGCCAGGCACTCCAGCACATTGAGCAACATAAAACATACTACTAAAGAGAATGTATTTTTAATATAAGGTAAAAACTAGATAACACTTCAATCCTGGCATGTTTTCTCAGAAATAAGTCTGTTGTGTTGAGAATAAGCCCTGTTGAGCAGAGCAGCAAGTACACCATTGCGTCAATTCCGTTATCCCAGATAAAAGGCATATGGAAAACATACCTATATCAGATACAAATTGGACACTACCAGTTTCTGATACAAAATTTGTAGCGAAGGCTCTGTACCAAGTTAAATCAGTGAAAATATGAAACAACTTGACTGAATTTGAAAGCAATGTAAAGTTGGATACAAGAAGTAGCAAATCAGACTCCTGAAGAAGATATCCCAGTTGGGATTTGGTCTCAACCCTTTTATCTGGTACAGACCTACATATAAATGAGTTCTGCACTAAATGAAAAGCATTCTACGTTTGGATTCTGTCCTTTTTCACAGAGCAGTCAGCATTCCAGCAGAGCACAATAAACAAGTCATATGAGATCTGTGATTTTGCACAATCATTTGCAGTGACCTTTCTCACTGTAAACATATAGTTTACTGGAAATTGCTGCATGCAGATACATACTTTACTTTTTTTAAAAAAAATGTATAGGGAGAAAGATACAGCAGAATTATCTAGTCCCTAGACTCAATAGTTAACCACTAGCAGCTTTGCCAAAGTGACCTATCATGGTTGTTTCAAAGACAGAACTCTCTCTGTGGCATTGGCGAGGATATTGCATTTATCTATAACAACAAGCTAACCCGCTTGAGATAGGCATGATACTTTCCCACAAGAGTGTTAAATAGACCCAGAACAAATAAACGTGCGGTGAGGACTTTTTAAAGAGCAGGGATAACGTTCAATTATATACTCTTTAAGAGATTTTTTTTAAAAAAAAGAAAGCTGTATATCTGCAAATGATTAAGAGATACTTTACAGTCTTTTGAACTCTTTTGAAATAAATGTGTAACACAAGCCACACATATTTCATATTCAGCCATTGTAGTAACGTTTTCCTAGCTTCTTCACTTTAATCAATATGAATTAAAATAGGGCAATTGGCAGAGTCAATAGCTGGAATAATTCTCTGAATTTCCCAAAAGGTGCAGTAGTGAAAACATTTTTAAAAATCTGTAACAGTCCGTTTCTTTCAACAGGATGTTTTGTTTAAAAGAAATTATTTCTTTTAAAGACTTTATACAGTGATTTTCTATAGCACTATAATGAAACAACATTAGTTATAAGCATATTCTTTTCTTTTCTTCATTTAAATTTCTCTTTTTTCTCCTCCCTCCTCAGCATAGACTGGCCCTTATATAAAAATGTATCAGCTGTTACATGCACAGACACAAAATAAAGCTGAACTTAGTTCTGACACCAAATGATTGTTGAGATTGGGAAAATAAACGAAAACAATGAAAAGGCTATTTAAATCTGAGCAAATATTCTGACAACATTAAAAATGTTTTAAACTTCAACATAAAGGAGCTTGCTTGGATTTTTCTTTGGTCAGATTGTGGTAGCGATGACGTGTGTAGAGGCAACAGCTTGAGTTCCATATTCTGCGAGGGGTTAGACTACAGCAGAACTTTGGAGGTTCCCACAACTAGCAGCAGTAGGAATGGGAGAAAAGAAGCTGTATAAAAGAATAGGCTGCCTCCTGTCATCTTCCCTACTTCTTTAAGGAATGGGAGAAAAGAAGCTGTATACAGTAAAAGAATAAGCTGCCTCCTGTCATCTTCCCTACTTCTTTCTTTTCCTTCTCTCTTACTTTTCTTGAAAATTTCTGAATAATTGTTATATTTTAAATATTGTAATAGGTTCCAGGCTAGCAAGTAGCATATTTAATGTTATCTCTTAGGAGTAATGGGAATATCCCCTATTGTGAGATAAACAGAGGAGAGCAGAAAGAAAGAGAGGGAGAGGAGATTGAGAACTAGCCAGATGTCAACACTCCTTCAAAGAGAAGCTTTTGGAGACCTCCTTGTGAGTGCTTAAATTTTTCTACTGATACCGATCTGCTAGCCAGTGCAGTGGCATCTAGCAACCAGCCGCATGGTATGGCAAGAAACAGGACGAAATGTGAGAGCATGCCTTTGGAGTCACAAGGAGAAAAAAAGTCTGTGAAGCTGTGCCTCCTGGAAGACTGTCTGTATCCCACAACCCAGAAGAAGCTGCACCCAAGTTGATTCCTGTCTTTCTCCACCAATGGCACTAAAAACATACCAGTAAAGAAATAATACGAGGTACAAAGTGAGAGACATTTAAGATTGAGACCAAAAGCAGAGTTGCCTTATTAAGAGGTTCATGTGAGGGTAGGGAAAAGAAATATATTTGCCATCATTGATAATTTTAGGGTGCTGGTGCTCTGCTGTTGATGGAAGCATCAAAGGCAAAATTCCTATTGATTTTCATGGGCCAGGGTTACTTTAGGCACCCACAGCCAAGTTCATCATAGGTGTGTGGTGGGGGGGGGAGAGAGTAAGAACAACATACTCCACCAAATTTTGCTCTTTCATCACAGCCTATAAAACCACACCTTTTTGCACCATGTTAGTTAATGCACAATAAGGAACAATCTCACGATTTAGTAGCATAAATTGCAGAAATTTTCAGTATAGTCTTAAGCATGTGCTGAAACAGGAAAGAGGTGGCGATTAAATCTGAAAGCTAGACTTAAAAGGTCTAGTGGATAAAGCGGCAGACTAGAACTCAGGACACCTAGGTCCAAATCCCTGCTCAGTTATGGAAACTCATGGGAGTGGTGACGGAACTGGTAAAATCACTTACCTTAAAAACCTTACTGGGGTGACTATAAATCAGTCCAGAGTTAGTGGCATATATCACAAGAGGTCATCAATCCACTTTAACCGATCTCACTACTAAAGCTGACTGGAACCCAACAGGACTGAACCCATCAACCTATTGCTACTCAGAGCCCCTCCTCACTCCCAGTCCAATATTTCCTGCACTTCCATTGGTAGAGATGATCCACCTGGATGCCTTTCTTTCGGAGCCAAGTGCGGGACAGCTGGAATATACCACCAATGCAAAGCAGCAAGATTGCACACAGATGGAGTTGCAGAAGGAGGAAGACACTGACTGCGTGTCCCATAATTTCTTGCAAACCAAGACCACCCATTCTCAAGCTCCAGAGGGGTT